CTCTTGTGGGACACTCTTGTGGGACACTCTTAAGGACACTGTTGCGGGACACTCTTGTGGGACACTCTTGTGGGACACTCTAGTGGGACACTCTTGTGGGACACTCTTAAGGACACTGTTGCGGGACACTCTTGTGGGACACTCTTGTGGCACACTCTTGTAGGAAACTCTTGTGGGATACTCTTGTGGGATACTCTTGTAGGACATGTCAAAGTCTGCAAGACGAACGTTTCGCACGAGACTTCCTCCAAAAGTCCAGCGGAAACACCCATCGGAGCACATACATCACGCAGCCCTGCCAAGCAGTTTCGCGATTCCAGCCCCTCTAAACGACACCCGCTCACACGCCAATCCCAATGTGACAGCGACATTCACCTCTACCGCAACTCAAAACCTCCCGATTCCCTGCGCCTGCCACGAATCTTTCCGCGTCCACACGTCTAACGCGCACAAAGTACTGCGCCTGCCACGAAATGTCACCTCCGTCACACATCGCAACCTCATGATTCCCTGCGCCTGCCACGAAAATCCCACTTCCACACCTCAAAACCCGCACAAAGTCCTGCGCCTGCCACGAAAAGCAACAATGTCATCTCATGTGAGCTTCAACAAAATTTGCACCACACCACACGTTTGGAATGATTTCGACCCGTTCTGAGCACACTCCCATCCACCAAAATCGGCATTTCAGCTGAGACTTGTCACGAAAACAGAGCTTCGATGCCACACCCTGAAACGCAAATCCCAATGGTCCAACACCCCAAAAACACGACTCTCCAAACGCCAATCCCGAAGGAACTGCGCAGCAATCTGCAGATCTCACCAAACGCTGCGCCTGTGCAGCGAAACGCATCACGTTGCTTGCGCGACATGTCTTTTTCATGCAAATCACAATGGAATAGCGGCGCAAACTGACACGTGACACATCCATGAAAAGTCACTTGCAAAAGCTTCCCCCAATGGCAGCGCCTTAGCGCTCTACCGCGAACGGTTGCGGACGGTTGCGAACGGTTGCGGAAGGTTGCGGACGTTGAAACAACGGATCGCGAACAAGGCTCTACCCCCAGACCCCCAAGAGTTAAACAAGAACCCTTTGCCACGCATTCGGGAAAAAGACAAGATGGAGCCCACGAACCCGAATGCAAACACATATGTCAATCCACTGTGTATAGAAAGAGACACAGCCGGTTAGATTATCTTTTTCACACTCCGGTACGCTGTTGGACATCATGCGCTGAGGAATCCACCACCAAGGCAGCATGTGCTGGGGACTTCACCACCAAGCTCCGTCTTCGTCATGAAGGGTCTTCGTTTTGCATTCAAATCAAGCACTGGCGTAAAGGTTCTGGCAGATCCACATCACGAAAGAAACAATGGCATTGTCCCAAAATCTCAAAAACAAGCACTTGAAAATGATAACCGTCCACATAATACAGAGAAATCCACAACTGCGGCTGTGGGACACTCTTAAGGGACACTCTTGTGAGACACTCTTGTGGGACACTGTTGCGGGACACTCTTGTGGGACACTCTTACGTGACACTCTTGTAGGACACTCTTGTGGGACACTCTGGTGGGACACTCTTGTGGGACACTCTTAAGGGACACTCTTGTAGCACACTCTTGTGGTCTTGTGGGACACTGTTGCAGGACACTCTTGTGGGACACTCTTACGTGACACTCTTGTAGGACACTCTTGTGGGACACTCTGGTAGGACACTCTTGTGGGACACTCTTACGGGACACTCTTGTAGGAAACTGTGGGGCACTCTTGTAGGACACTCTTGTGAGACACTCTTATAGGACACTCTTGTGGGACACTCTTAAGGGACACTCTTGTGAGACACTCTTGTGGGACACTGTTGCGGAACACTCTTGTGGGACACTCTTGTGGGACACTCTTGTGGGACACTCATACGGGACACTCTTGTGGGACACTCTTGTAGGACACTCTGGTGGGACACTCTGGTGGGACACTCTTGCGGGACACTCTTGTAGGAAACTCTTGTGGGACACTCTTGTGGGACACTCTTGCGGGACACTCTTGTAGGAAACTCTTGTCAGATACTCTTGTAGGACACTCTTGTGGGACACTCTTGTGGGACACTCTTGTGGGACACTCTTGTGGGACACTCTTGTAGGAAACTCTTTGTGGGACACTCTGACGGGACACTCTTGTGGGACACTCTTGTGGGACACTCTTGTAGGAAACTCTTGTGGGACACTCTTGTGGGACACTCTTGTGGAACACTCTTGTAGGAAACTCTTGCGGGACACTCTTGTAGGACACTCTTGTGGGACACTATCGTGGGACACTATCGTGGGACACTCTTGTGGGACACTCTTAAGGGACACTCTTGTGAGACACTCTTGTGGGACACTGTTGCGGGACACTCTTGTGGGACACTCTTGTGGGACACTCTTGTAGGACACTCTTGTGGGACACTCTTGTGGGACACTCTTGTAGGAAACTCTTGTGGCATACTCTTGTAGGACACTCTTGTGGGACACTCTTGTAGGACACTCTTGCGGGAAACTCTTGTAGAGAACTCTTGCGGAACACTCTTGTGGGACACTCTTGTAGGAAACTCTGTTGGGACACTCTTGTAGGACACTCTTGTGGGACACTCTTGTAGGGCACTCTTGTGGGACACTCTTGTGGGACACTCTTGTAGGACACTCTTGTGGGACACTCTTGTAGGACACTCTTATGGGACACTCTTACAGGACACTCTTGGGGGACACTCTTGTAGGACACTCTTGTGGGACACTCTTACGGGACACTCTTGTCGGACACTCTTGTGGGACACACTTGTGAGACACTCTTGTGGGACACTCTTGTGGGACACTCTTGTGGGACACTCTAGTGGGACACTCTTGTGGGACACTCTTGTGGGACACTCTTGTGGGAGACTCTTGCGGGACACCCTTGTAGGAAACTCTTGTGGGATACTCTTGTAGGACACTCTTGTGGGACACTCTTGTAGGACACTCTTGTGGGACACTCCTGTAGGACACTCTTGTGGGACACCCTTGTGGGACACTCTTGTGGGACACTCTTGTAGGAAACTCTTGTGGGACACTCTTGTAGGACACTCTTGTGGGACACTCTTGTGGGACACTTTTAAAGGACACTCTTGCGGGACACTCTTAAGGGACAGGGAGACTCTTGTAGGACACTCTTGTGGGACACTCTTGTAGGACACTCTTGTGGGACACTCTTGTAGGGCACTCTTCGTACGAGACTTCCTCCAAAAGTCACACGTCAAGTCTCCAAAACGAGCGTTTCGTACGAGACTTCCTCCAAAAGTCACATGTCAAGTCTCCCAAACGAGCGTTTCGTACGAGACTTCCTCCAAAAGTCACGTGTCAAGTCTCCAAAACGAGCGTTTCGTTCGAGACTTCCTCCAAAGTCACATGTCAAAGTCTGCAAAACAAGCATTTCGTACGAGACTTCCTCCAAAAGTCAAGCAGAAACACCCATCGGAGCGCACACATCACGCAGCCCTGCCAAGCAGTTTCGCGAGCCCAGCCCCTCCAAACAACACCCGTTCACACGCCAATCCCACTGTGACAGCGACATTCAATTCTACCACAACTCACGACCTCACAATTCCCTGCGCCTGCCACGAATCTTTCTCCATCCACATGTCTAACGCGCACAAAGTACTGCGCCTGCCACGAAATGTCACCTCCGTCACACCTCGCAACCTCACCATTCCCTGCGCCTGCCACGAGAATCGCACTTCCACGCCTCAAAACCCACACAAAGTACTGCGCCTGCCACGAAAAGTGACAATATCATCTCATGTCAGCTTCAACAAAATTTGCACCACACCACACGTTTGGAATGATTTCGACCCGTTCTGAGCACACTCCCATCCACCAAAATCGGCATTTCAGCCGAGACTTGTCACGAAAACAGAGCTTCGGTGCCACACCCTGAAACGCAAATCCCAATGGCACGGACATGTCCAACACCCCAAGAACACGACTCTCCAAACGCTAATCCCGAAGGAACTGCGTGGCAACCTGCGGATCTCACAAAACGCTGCGCCTGTGCAGCGAAATGCATCACGCTTCTTGCGCGACGTGTCTTTTTCATGCAAATCACAATGGAATAGCGTCGCAAACTGACACGTGACACATCCATGAAAAGTCACTTGCAAAAGCTTCCCCCAATGGCAGCGCCTTAGCGCTCTACTGCGAACGGTTGCGGACGGTTGCGAACGGTTGCGAACGGTTGCGGACGGTTGCGGACGGTTGCGGACGTAGAAACAACGGATCGCGAACAAGGCTCTACCCCCAGAACCCCAAGAGTTAAACGAGAACCCTTCGCTACGCATTCGGGAAAACATGCGCGGATCCAAAACAATCCCTGAAAGCCCCCCATTGTTTGGTCTGGAGGGTCACGGCTTTTGAGTTTGCGAAATGATGTAGGTGATAGCCCAACTTGTTTTTAATATACAGGGCAAGTCCAACTTCGGCCCTCACGAATATGGAATTCCCCAACTGCAGTCGATGTCGTCTTGCGCAAAACACCTGTTGTGGATCCATCACATCCATCGCATACCTTTTTGTTCTCGTTGTTCCGTTCCGTGCACCGAGCGACGCTTTGTGGAGAGGTCGCCCTCAACCAAGAGCAGCTGCTCTATATCCTCAGGCGCCTGAGGAGCAAAGAAAAAGGACCAGACTGTCTGAGACGGTCTTAGGTTTATTGATGTTTCCCTTTGGTACTTGATTGTACGATCCAAACGCTCCATGATCATTGCCAAGGGGTCAAGTTGGGTACAAAGTCCAATCCAAGTTGTGACTCAGCCAACCCATGTGCTATTGATTCTTTTCGGTACAAGCAGGGGGGTTGCACGAAATCACCATGATCTTTACTTTGGCCGTGTGTGTGTCTGCCTTTGAAGACAGACTGCACATGTTGCGCGAAAATATAACACCAAGCAGAAGCTACAACTACATATTAATCTGCCCATAGGCGTACCTGATCGTGTATAATATACACAGTCCTTGATACATCTGAGCAGCGGCACTTATTCATTACTCAACTTAAATCTATTATGTCGGGGCCCTATCTCGTTTAGAGTTTAGAGTACTTTAGTTGGAGGTCACAGTCATGTCATAGTATTTCGCTCAGACTCTGTTAGTAGCAAATCACAGTACCTCCCTATCTAGTTCACCAGCGAATACTGATGTTGGGCAAACAAATAGAGCATGCCCTAGACTACTTTAGTAAAGAATGAAAAAAGGGGTTGCTCGTCTGATTATATCATAATATCTGTATGCACCGAACCAACAGCAGTGCTTCATGCATTCCTCAGAAAAATTAAACTCTCTTGTTGACTGGGAATGGGCAGAAGTATCTCTTCTGTGATTGATGAGCTTGCTTCACTGGATTCGTAGTTGTGTCAACCAGCTGCTGTAAACCAACTCCGGTTGTTTGGTAGCGCAAAGCAAACAGCTGCACCATTCTGTGAAATCAGCCAAAATTATCTACCGTTTGCGATGTTGAAATGGACCTTGTGCCAGGGTTGATTATTTGACGGAAATCCAAGGTCTTCACGGAAGTCTCTTCTTTTGACCCCTGCGGGTCCCCTTTTGAAAGAAAGATATGGAACAACCGGCACCCTGCAAAACCCCGACCATCTGCCGCAGCCTGCCTCTGGCAAGACTTCGACGCCAAAGCTCTTCACAATGGAAAAGACACACATCACTGCATTTCGCCGCACGTAGGAGTGCCTGGCCGGTGTCAGCTCTGCTGGGTCAAGGCCGCCGGTCACCCGTGTGTTTTGTGAAAACTCCGCAGACTCAAAGGTTCGAATGGAATGCTCACGTTGAGTGCTGGCTCGGGAGGCCCCTGTCCGATGCTTGAGAAGTTTCTCTCGCTTTGGGCCATCCGGCAATGCCAAAGAGTAGGAAGAACCCCTCAATCAGAAGATGTCCAAAAGAGGAACCCACGCTTCACGATGCCTATGCGACAGGTTCCTGAGAACAGCCTCCTTCAAGGGCTCAAGGATCCTCCAAACAGCGAAAAGCCGTCACCGCCAGCGCGATGTAGTGCCGTGCCCGACCGATGCAACACAAGTGGGTCCCTTGGACTGGTAGCGTCCTTGCTCCTAGTAGCGTCCTTGTTCCTAGTAGTATGTTACTTATAGAGACACCTCCCGAACTAATGACTGATGAGTCTGTCTGTCCACTATTCTTCTTCCCCAACCTGTCACGCTGGCTTGTCTCCCCCAATCGAAGACACACCTGCTTGTTTGGGAAGAAGTGTTGCACACTTGTGCTTTTCTCTTGCTAAGAAACCTCTTGGTGGTGCTTTACAGAAATTCTTGAGAGGGGTCACAGTCTCTCTGCAACTGCAATGGACCACGCGTCCTGTAGTACTTCATCTTGCACAACAACCTCCGCTCGGCAGAAAGATCAAGGCAAGAAATGTACTTGCAAGTTTACAGGTGGATGCAAAATAGCTTGGGTATAGGATGTTGTATCTATACATTATACATATATATATATATACATATTGTATGAAACAAGAAGTCAACCAATGGGCTGTCCTTTTCGTATCCCTTACAGAGTTTCCGGGAATTCAAAGGACCTGGGTTGTTCGAAAGATAGCTGCCTAACACCCTATTGTTCTCATGTCCCACAGCAGGATCGCTCGGAGAGCTGGACTGATTCCCTTAGCATACCGGCCAGCTAGCCGACCAATGCACCAAGAATTGGGAAGATTCCCCAAAACATCCAGCAAATATAGACGTTTGCCAGGCAACCGCAATGTCGAGCCGCACACGTACCTCCACGAAATAGTATGCAACTGGTTCTGGGTCGAGCATGTGTGCTTTGAATGTATCGCATTGGGCTTGAAAATGTTTAAAAGGCGTTCTCCGATTGCTTTTTGTGAGTGTGCTTTTTTGATTCTTTTCCTACATGCCCAGGGTTCTGAAAGCCAAAGCAACAATAAACTCAACAGGCAAAAACAACATCAATTGATGTTGATTCTGTAGATTCATGTAACCTGTACGCCGTTGGGCACTCGTTGGCGTGCATCAAGTCATTTCGTAAGGCATTGCACACCAAGATCATTTCTTCCTTTAGGTCGCCGGTGTCCTGCATGGGCCAGGAGTCAGAAAGGGAACTTGTTTAGTGGCTGCCAGGCACCCTGAGAGAAGCGGCATCAAGAGGAAAAAATAAACATGGAAAAAACATGGTCGTGGAGAAGCAGCATGTGGACAATTGTCACCTTGGTGCAACAGCTTCAAGCACCCTGCTGTATGGCAATAAAAACGAGAGAGAGAGAGAGAGAGACAGAGAGACAGAGCCGCTAGCTCTCTGCAGCCATAAACGGCGTCCTTTGTTTTCTCGACGATCTCCCAATAGATCTGCAAAAGCTTCTTTACTCGATGATCCCGGCTAGTGACCACAAAACCTCAATCGCGGAGCTGCAGAGCTCAGCTTCTGGCCGCCAAAAAGACAAACAAAAACGCCGTGGGGAGCCCCTAATAGCGTCCTTGCTCCTAGTAGTGAGGCCAGGTGATAGTAGCGTCCTTGCTCCTAGTAGCGATGCTTGATTCCGTTCATGTTTGGCAAAGGCAAACGAGCATCGGCTAGCTTTTCACAGCACAGCGCTATCCCAGTCTTGATCTGTGTGAGACCACTTGTGCCAGCAACACATTCAGTACAAGCCTGCAACTCAATGCAATCCTTTGAGGTGATAATGCTCATGAACGCAAACAAGAGGCGGATGATAGTCATCAACAGCTTCGGGTACGACCTTGCTCGCGCGTAGAGTTTAGGTCCGCAGGCCGCAGGGTATTACAATTTTTTACAGGGGTTCCTTGCAAGTTGCATATAAGCTGAGTACCTTTCCATCATTTTCCATCTAAAGAGCCTTCACAGCAAGCAAGAAAAGGGGCTTCCTCCTCACTAGAGGTTCATTGTCTTCCAAATCCAAAACAAATTCAAACCCCCGTCTGCAGAGGCAGATGCACTTCTGTGTTAGCTTCTGTTTCGTGAAGGGGTCGATCAGAGCTGGGTCACATTTTCAGCTACCGTCATGAGGTAAAACTAGCCGTCCAGGAGTCCATGTTGCGTGGGCATTAACATTAGCCAAAAACGCTCCATGATCATGACTGTCCAGCTGATCCGCCCCTCATTCTCAGTGCCAACCCTCCAACCCAGCAAGCGAGTCTTCAAGTGCGTCATCTCACAGGAGGCGACTCCGGATGACTTTAAACCATAGGAATTGGTGAGAATCCCCCAAACTCGGAGGGGATTCGGGCCGAACGGAGTGTCCAGGGTCGTGTCAGGACCAAATACGACACCTGACCTCCAGTGTCCTGGCTGAGGGCGAGCCGGTTTCCTGTCTCTAGTGTAGATTTGCCGACTTCGTCTGTCATTTGACGTCCACTCCAACACTGGGCTCCCTTGAGACCAGGCGACTCACCATTGATCATCAGCAGAATCAACTCTTCAAGGGCTTCGGCTTGCACAGTCTCCTCGACCGAGTCACTACAATCGGAACGGACCGGATTTTCTTCTCTGCGAACAGACCCGAAAAGTGCCAAGCTTTGATCCTATTTGCAGCACGTAAGTGTCAAGCTTTGATCTTGGGTATCCCATGTCCATGTCAGCAGATCAGAGCTCTTGTTCAGCAAGCAGTTTCTTCCAGCCCACATCAAGAATGAAGGCCGTTCAAGCTCACCGAATACTGCCCTCGTTCACACTAACAATTCATGTCCTTCTTGCTCTCCAACTTCTTCGCAAGCTCTTCGGATGTTGGCGGCACGCCCTTCTCATAGTGAATGAGGATCTCAGATCGCAATGCGGGTGTCCAGAACTCATCCCTGTGGCAGATACATCCTATTGCCCATGAGTTCGAGGGTACCACAAGCACCATCTACAATATGGATTTTGTGCGATCGGACATTTGAATGCTTGGCTGGCGGAACTCATCAAAATGCACACCACCACAATTAATCCACAGAACAACGGCCCTTTGGACTCTTGATCGAAATCAACATGTTGAGTCATGTCTTACTGAGATCTAAGATGCATCCTCAGTGTTCAAGGCTGCAACAATTACACAAGCACTTTGGTATGGTATGCACTGTTTGGAGAATCCCACATGCTCCAACACAATACTGCATTCACACTCTATATCTCCCCCTCCTGTCTCCCTGTCTCCCTGTCTCCTTCTCTCCCTCTCTCCGTCTCTCCCTGTCTCCCTGTCTCCCTGTGTCTGCCTGTCTGTCTGCCTGCCCGCCTGCCTGCCTGCCTGCCTGTGTGTGTGTGCCTGCCTATCTTTTGAATCATGTCCCTTGTTGTTGTGTGAAACCGCGATCAACAACAACTGCTGTTATTACATGATTGATATTCTGGAGCTCTGTGTCTGGAAAACCTGAAGCCACCCAAAATGTGACCCACTCCGCTCCGCTTCTCCCATGAATCCGTTCGCTTCTGCGTAAGGCAGCGACCGTACAGTACTTCTCCGTTTCAACCTCATCGAGTGTCAAACAGTCCTACCCCGTCGCTCCCTAGGGCCCCACATGTTAAAGCCATGCAACTCACCAATCATGTCATTTGACGCGCCAGTCACCGCCCAAAAAGTTGCTCAACCTCCGTAGTTTGTTTGCATAAATAGGAACAGGAACAGCAAGCCTTCACTAGAGGACGCTTCTAGGAGCAAGGGCATCGCTACTAGGAGCAAGGACGCTACTAGGGGCTCCTGGCATCGCTACTAGTAGCAAGGACGCTACTAGTAACAGCACGCCTGCAGAAATTTCTTCGGTTCTGGACTTCAGCTCCGGGCACTCATGGCCTACGACGGTGCCCGTGGCCCGGTGACATCCACGGCTACGTCCGAAGCGTTTTGAGCCCAGCCGGCAAAGAGACAAGGTGTCACTCAGAGCCTTCTCCCCAGGCAAGCAACATGTGTGCGGCTTATGTCATTGCTTATTGTGACTCTGTGAAGGCACAGGGTTTGGGGGACGGTCGGCATTGGTTGTGAGATCCTTCCAAACCGGGAGGCTCTTGGGTCCTTCAACACCCCATGCGTGCTGAGGACGAGGAGTAATTGAGAGTATTGCGGACCACATCCGAGCAGAACTCGAAACTCAAACGATCTGGACATATCTGGACATGTGAAAGTCAGTCTGAAGTAGGCGAAGCAAGTGATATCCAAAGGTACGACTTTGGTCTCGAAACGGTGATCAAGATCAACTAGTGTTCAACCCTCTCTTTCTGCGACTTTGTATGTAAAGCTTATGGTGTTACCACCACATGATTTGAGACACAAGCATGCAGCAGCCACATTACATGTTTGACCCGAACCAATTCCCAAGAGGAGATCACTCCTTTGGTGTCTCCAAAACCACCCCAATTTAGGGCATATCCCCAGCCTTCCAGCGGAGTTCGAGCAAGGCATTAGCAACTGGGCACCCACTGTCAGTCAAGTGCGCGGTGTCTGCATTCGGTGAATTACTGGCCTGCAAGAATGAGCTGAATGCGCATTGGTTTGAAAGAAAACTTGACAGTGCAGGAAACATCAGGAAACTTAGGGTCTTCATATTTTGTGTCCTGTAGATTGTCCCAACCAATTCTGGAAAGTGAGTGAAGAATCTCTATGCTCCGGAGCAAACAGCTTCACAGCCCACCTAGCTGGGCTAATGCCTGCGCCCGCAATGCGATCTCCAAATAAAATTGAGCTTCCACACTATGAGCAACATTCACATGTTTTGGCACCTGTTGCCGATTGACATCTGTATATTGCACCTCCTGGAGGTCTGGAAGGTACTCTTCTTGGAGTAGCACAGCGCTCCATCCCAGCAGCCGCAGCCGCCTCGAGTGGGACTCAGCCAGGTTGGGCTGGAGTTGACTTGGCTGGGCTCATGAATTGGTGAGAAAAGCTCCCACCTCATGAGACACCAAAATGAAGCGCGAGCTCACCTGGGCAGTGATCCGAAGGGCCAAAGTGGATTTAACCAGTCTTGAAAAACAAATATATATATATATATATACATAATTGTTCCAGCGTAGACATGCGCAGAAGGGATGGCCTCCAACCTAGAAGGGATCCAACCTAGAAGGGATGGCCTCCAACCTGGAAGCGATGGCCTCCAAACTACTAGCGCTGGCCTCCAACCTAGAAGCGATGGGCCCCAACCTGCTAGCTAGAAGCGATGGCCTCCAACCTACTAGCGATGGCGATGGCCTCCAAACTAGAAGTGATGGCCTCCAACCTACAAGCGATGGACCCCCAAGCAGGAAAATGAAAAAGACGCGGAAGGAAAGAGAGGCCATTGGCTTTTTTTGCACGTGGCAGTCGAGCTAGATTGTGTGCTGAACGGAAAGAGACGACCCAAGCAATCCAGCACAAGCCCTCAGATAGACCGGAGAACACCCGTACGAACAGCAGGTGTGCGCACCTTTTCAAAGGAAGTAAAGACTCCCTTTTCAACAAATAAACCTGTTTAGGAAAAAAACATACAAAAATAACACTTTCGTGCTCACAAAGTCACATGTTCCTTTTGTTGCACACACTCTTGTCTCTGTACATCTGAGGAAGCATCATGTGACTGTGCTGGAGGAGGATGCTGCCAAGGCCTCACAGTCACATCTCTCGGACATCACAAACATCACACAAACATCAAAAAGCACCCTCTCATAATCCTGAAATCGAAAGCTTTTCCTCAATGCACATGGTGTTCCAATTCCAGATTGCTACAGGCTCCAGCTGCTGGCTGACGGGAGCCGGGCCGGCCCTGAATCAGGTGAGATGAAACCACCCAACCGCCAGATTTCTTCCCTTCAAAACACAACTCCAATAGGCTCCAAAACAAACCATTCCACTGCTATGCCACGAGTTGATCTTGGGGGAAGGGATTGAAGCTGATAGATGGAATGTAGCACTTCCTTCTACAGGAGCTCTTTCAAAACATGCTTGGAATTGCAATCATGGCATTCCGAAACTCAAAGTGTGGTGGAACCCGGTTAAACTGCGTTTCTTGCCAGACCCTGAACGAGAGGAAGAAATCATCGCATACCAAACCGGACATCCACCAGACTGTCCGGACCATCAGTTCTGGCCGCCTGGGAGGTCGACTCCCATGCCGAGGCAAAGCGGCTGGAGGACTGTTGCAGCGTGTCCTGCGATCGTCTCGGTGCGGGACGACCGCCATGGAGAGAGGTTCCCGAAGAAAAACAGAGGAAACCGGGAGAGTGTTCTGTTCTCAACTTCAGCACTAAACTGACACAGACAAGTGCCACTCATGGCAAGTATATAATTGAGAATTGAGAATCATAAATCATAATCTACTTCCAAAACTATATATATATATAGGAACAAGGACCCTACTAGGGGCTCCTGGTATCGCTACTAGGAAGAAGCTACTAGGGGCTCCTGGCCCTACTACTAGGAACAAGAGCATCGCTACTAGGATCTTAGACAATCCCATGAGATTGCGCGGCGCGGCGTGCGGCGCCTCGAGTCCGGTGAATGGCCCAACACCACGCGAGGGCTTCCAGGTGGGCCCGCTGCAGGTCCACCCACTGTGCCAAGGTGGGTCGATTGGTGCAGCAGCTGAGTAGTTAGCCGGAATCGGTCTTTCCGAAGTATGTAATGAAGTTGTCTGAAGATCACAAGTCGCATGTAGGGACAGGTACATGTACGATCGATCACAGCTGAAGTGATTGAGAAAAAATATGAAATAATCTCCTCAAACATGAAAATGCATGAAGTAAGCCTGAGCATTTCAGAATTTCACTGCCACCACGCAACCAACACCTACAAGCTCCGTCGGCCAAGACGGGTGGCGTACCATAGGTCACCGGAGCCACCCTTCGCGTTCCAGCGCCTGACCCACCATCACGTGATCCCATGGAATGCTTGGACAAACAACCGGGGCATGAAAGGGTCATGACACGGCCATGAGACTTCTCTTCACCTCCCCAGCCACCCCTGCTCCCCATCACCTGCCGAATCTGCTCGCACAGTCACCACTGGAGACCTGGGCCATCGACACTGCCACCGCTGCCACAGGTCTCCAGGAGCAAGGACGCTACTAGGGGCTCCTGGCATCGCTACTAGTAGTAACAAGAACGCTACTAGGAACAAAGGGCATCTGGCCATCTCCTTTCAGGACTCCACCAGTCTCGGCACCCCGACGCGGTGCGGATCGTGGGGACGCTGGGTACCGTCACGAAGCACCCCGTGGAGGCGGTGCCTGCCACCTCGGGTTGCGCAAAGATGGCGAACCGGCGGCACCAAAACTCGGTAGGAAAGCAACACTTGGTGGCGACTAAAGTTCGCCACCTTGTAGACCCGCCCTCTGAAAGTAGCAGGTGTTGACCTTGTTGCAATGTCAGAGGCGTTTGAACATGTTCGTTCACTGCTGAGCGTTCAGGTTGGAACGAGAGTCTCTGATACGCTGGAGATGGGCTTGCCTCGACTATATATACATATCTTCGCTGGCAAGACAAGTAAATCTCTGGGTTCATGACTGTGCGCATGTACCAGTTCCTCAAACCAAAGATAGAATGAAACTTCAGAATCACTTAAAGGCCCATTGAACTCTTTGAAGAGCTGCTGCCGTGCCTGACTTGCTGGATTTGTGGCTGTGCCTTCGGCATTTCACGTGCGTAAGCCACAGCGTGCTCGCATACCGTGCTCACAGGCCCTGCAGACCAGGGTGCTGCTGTCGCAACAAAGGCTGGAGGTTGAGGCGCACTTGGCGTGTAGGCCGTATAGTGCATGTGGTCGCCTCACATCTTCGCTGCATTTCATGACAACGCGATGGCTCCAAAGCTTCTTGCTACTAGTAGTAAGGCCAGGAGCTACTAGTAGCGTCCTCTTGTTCCTAGTAGCGATGCCCTTTGTTACTAGCAGCATCCTTGCTCCTAATGGCGATGGCCTCCAATTTTCCGATTTTCCGATTGGCTCAGGCTCCGCAGCTTTCGCGGGGGATGCCTTGATCCCTGGAAAATCTCTAAAGCTCGATTGCTAAGAGATCTACTCCATTGGTGAGCACTGCTTTGTGCTTTTGGATGTGCGTTTCGACGGCCTTGAAGCGATCGGTGGCCATGCGAGCGGTAAGGCAGTGGGCCCAAAACACCGTAACCCGCGATGAGGGCCTCACGTACTGGGTCGTCAACATGACCCGCTCCAATTTGTGGATCCGAAGGAGGAAGATGCGGAACCACCTGACACGTTCTTGAATCTCATATTGCTTAGCACTGGCCCTGGACAGCCATTCCCAAGTGGTGTACTTACGAACCGGCCTCACTCCACCACAATCGGTGGTCAAGACAAAATCCATGAGCATATACAGCCAGGGAAGGTGAACGGCTGGGGCCTGATTATTTTGAAAGGTCTGGGACCATCGGGCAAGCCGGTTCCACCCCTCGCCCACTAATTTGTGGGTCGCTGTTTGAGGTCTATCTGGCAACGCAGCTAGGGTCACCTCGGTCAGTGGGAGAGCGAAATTAATGGGAGCGTCAGGCGGTGGTTGCTCAGCGGAGGCTTTGGTCACTGCCGCTTCACTTACCTGCAAGATGTTCGAGTGAATTTGATCTCTGAGAATGCTGGCCGCTTCGAGATCGGCTACTGCGTTACGCCATTGTTGGAAGACCTGCTGGGGATACATGGTGCTATGATGGGCTCCATGATCGGCGTTATCGTTACCGGTGAAGACCCATTTTTCGAGCCATGAGGCTTTGTCCATGCATTGATGGCTAGACACTTTATGAATCTGTACCAAGTCAGGTGAAGCGGTGCGTGCCAAGGCAAATAGCGTTGACCACAAATCTTGGTCCTTGGTCGGCATGGGACATCCGGCTTGGTTGCGCAGGGCTTGACTCAGTGTATCGACCACTAGAGCATTATCACTCCAGATCCGCACATGGCAACCCTGTGAGATCGCAAAACGGACTGCAGATGTTGCGGCCAAGATTTCTGCCCTTCCGCTCGTCTGTTTCCATCCCGG